TATATAAACACATTTAAATTATGTATGATGAATGTATTCGGAGATATTTAATGCAATTTTACTTCTTAGTGCTCATTGAATGGCTGGAGTCTTTGGCTGTGCACGGAATCGCAATGCTCAAGAACTCACCATTGGATATTGGCGTTGTAAAGTCATTGGCCAATCGAATCGGTTTCATACGCAAGACAACTTATGGGTAAATACTATAATTATTATATAAAACTTCTCAAAAATAAAAACATTACTTTAAACGCACTGGTTATTGTATGACTTTCAGTGAGGAATTTAGCGTGCGCTCACGTCCGGGAGCCAAGAATTACTCCTACCTCTCTGAGCCCCTACCACTGCACACCGATCTACCCTACTATGAGTACAAGCCAAGTGTGACGCTGTTGCATACGCTCGAGCAATCACGCTCCAAAGGCGGCTGGAATCAGCTAGTGGACGCCTTCAATATCGCCGATCAGTTGCGCGTCAATCACCCGCAACATTTCGAAACGCTCGCAAAGACACTTATCAATTGGTGTGACATCGGCATGGATGCTGATAAGTCTTTCCATAATATGTGGCGCGCGCCAGTTATTAAGTAAGTCAAGCAGACGATAACTCATTGCCAATGAATCTTCGCTGATCCGTTGCAAGTCATCATTGAGATACTCGCCAATTACCATAATTGCATAACAACTGTTCTTCCTTAAAACGTAACACAGCTCTTCAGTTGCTTTGCCCTTTGCCCATCACTTATACACGACTTATATTACTCTCCTTTTATTTACTCTTGTTGTTGTAGCTTGGATGCAGATGGCAAATATGCGCGCATCAATCACAGCGTACCTCAACGTGACAGTCACTTCAGCATCGATGTCGATAAGGTGATGCCCTGGTATGAGGCCAACGCCACATTCGTACGCATGGCTCACGAGCAATCGGTCACCTTTAAAACGGAACCGGGCGACGTGTTGTCCTTCAACAATCTACGCATGCTGCACGGTCGCACCGGCTACGATGACACCGAACGAAATGTGCGTCACATTGTAGGCGGCTTCGTTGACTGGGATATCGTTTACTCGAAGATGCGTGTGCTGAAGCGTGCGGCAATGTCGTGCGAGACGGCGGTGGACATGGTGATGCATGCGTGAAACAATAGACGAGTGGGCGGGTATGTTGCAAATTGACTTTGCTTATTTGAGTATTAAGTTTCTGCGGATTTAAGTGTAATGGTGGAGGCGCAAATAAAATTAAAGAAATTTAAAAATATTTTTGCTTTTATTGGAAAATAAATAAAATTTTGGATGAATCTAAGTGATATCTAAGTTATTAGTTCGGAATGGGTACCTCTGCAACCGATTCCATCAAGCAATGCCCTCTAATTTTTGGCAGCTAGACCTTGCTCATTTAAGCCGAATCTGTTATCATATTTGAATGCAACTAAGTAGTCGGAATGTTTTGGAAGAGGTCAGATCTTCTAAAAGTGCTAAACGTGCGCTAAATGATCAAATACCAATAGTAACAACCCAGAATCTAACTTTCAAAATTTTATTGTGAATGTCGAAATAGTTAGCGATTCTTACTCTCATACAATCTTGGGTTTTTACTATAATATACAATTTTATATCCCACAAGCCACCTGATCCCACGAAGCCAAATTAGCTGCTTATTATTTAAATAAATGACATAGTTGAATAATTGGAAACATATCACAAACTTCGCGCCCACATACCATATAACCTAAATGAGAATATATACAAGTTTAGCATCGCAGGTTCATTACTTTGACCGTCAGTCTATATGACAGATATAGTTTTCCGTGTTACCGTTTTCTCTTTTTGCGTCCTATAAATCCATTTTTTATGTTTTTATACCAAATATTTACTCTAGGTGGCGCGGTAGTATAACTTTTTCAATAATTTTTATGTGTTTTCATTTAAATTTTTGGTCTTGTCGCAGAAGAATAACCACCACTTTTTTTTTATCACATTAACAATTATTTTAAAATAAAATTTTGAATTATATAGTTTCTGTTATTTCGTCATTAGGTGGACATTTTGGTTTGTAATCGATTCAGAAATTCGAAATGATAATTTCTGTGATCTGTTAACTCTACAACATCATTTATAAT